TGTTGATGGCGCGGAGCTTGACGAAGAAGTCGTTGACGATGGCGTCGTTCCACATGATGGGCCCGCGGTCGGGGAACTCGTACCGTCCGACGAGGTAGCGGACAGTGAAGAAAATAATCTCCCCAGGATTCTCGCTGGTGGACCGGTTGATCTCGCTGATAACGTCGTCCAGAGACTCGCCCGTGTTGCCGATGGCAAGCGTGGCCATCTCGTCGTTGACGTGCATTACCCAGAAGCCGTTGTTCTGCGCGGCGTTGTTGTTGGGGTGAACGGACCCGACGCGGAGATCGAACCAACGGGATCCGGCGCGGAGCTGGTCGTAGATGTTGATGCCTTGATTCTGGGTGTTCTCCTCGCTGCCAATGCTGACGATTTTGTTTGTGATCCTGCTCATGCCCGCATCGTGCGTGCCGGGCATGATGAGGTGCCGGACGAGTCTGTCGCGAATCACGTCGTACATCTTCCGCATCCAGTTGCCCGGGCCATGTCGCAATGAGGCCTGAAACCCAAAGCGGCTGCTGCCCGTAATGACCAGAGAGACTGCGGTCTCGCCTCCTGGGAACACATACTCCCGCTGCCCTAGGCCCATGCCGCTGAGGTCGAGTACGACTCGTCGGGGGTCCGAACTCGGGATGTACGACTTCACCCGTACAGCGAACTTCTTGTCGGTGCCCTCGATTCCGTAGTAGGCCTCGCCAGCGTCATCCCGTGTGTACCACGTCCCCCTGTACTTGACGGCGTTTTGGCGAGCGCGGCCCTGAGGGATATCGCCAAAGTCGAAGGTGTCCATCTGGTATGAGTGTGTGCTTTCCAGCTTGATACGGTGTGGTGTGAGGTTGACAACCGTGATGTAAAATTTGCTGCTCAGCTTGCCCACCACAGGATTGAGCTTGTCGTACGGCTGGTACGCTCCGGCTGGAAGAGCTTCGGTGCTATATGTGCGGTCCTGGGCTTTGCAGACATCATCAGCCTGTCCGCGTACCAACACCCAGGCCGAGCTGACAAGCGCGGCTAACAATTTGACGGCTCTCATCTTTGCCGGGAACTTCAATGATCGGTGGTGTGCGGTAAGGGTGACTTGAAGTTGGAGAGTTACCTGCCTGTCAGACGATGGGCTCCTTTACTGTGATTCCCGGCTGGGGAGAAGCCCCTGATGTAGGAAATAAAGGTGAGTTCCATCTTCATGTGGCGCCCGAGCCTGATTCCAATCCATTGCGAGAAGGTGCAAACACCCAGACCCCTTTTTCGGCGGGAAATGCCATTCAGGGAGCTGGCTGAGACAGGAGCCAATCGCACGTCTTCCCGGCCCCAAGGCGGCGTGCCCCTGACCTCGCACCCCCGCCCCCGAGGCCGCTGGAGAGGTCCCTTGAGCGGTTCCTGCGCGCTGATTGCTGGGTAAGTTCGGTCATCAGGGAGCAACGCACAGCGAACTGGAAGCACCTAGCACAACGTGCCATGTCCACAAGATGAGAGCCGAGACATTTTTGGGAGATGGCATCCGGCACCGGGACTCACGAAGTCACCTTCCCCTCTTCGGCTCCAGGGTTTTTTCACATGCCCCCGCGAAACATCAGCTATAGTTGCATTGCTGCTAAGAGACAACGCCGACCGAGGATTCGGTCCGCGAGGAATCTAGATGTTTGCACCCTTCTCCACAAAAGGTCACAAGCTTTATGCATGATCAGGTCCGACCCCAGCGGTCGCGGTCTGCATCCTGGCCCGGGCAACCCCTGGGCCTGATCCGGCTACCTCTTGTTGCATTTGCACTTGCTGGGGGAATGGTGCGTGACCAGGGCACCACCAACTGGTTCACACCGATGACCTGTCGTAGTACTCGAAGGTGTGACTTTGGTTGTGTGCGCTTGTAGCCATCAAAAAAAAAAAAAAAAAAAAAAAAAAAAAAAAAAAAAAAAAAAGAATATCGCTATCACGTTTGAAACTGCGACATCTGTATCTAAGTTGTCCCACAGTGATGTGTTTTGATAATAGTATCCCTTATGACGCTGATGCGACAGAGAGGGTAACCCCTGAGTGGGAAAAATCGAACCTTGAACTAACACCCAATCTACATCCACCAAAATACGGCAGCATTGGCAAAGAAAGTCCAATCTGCGGTTCAGTCGCCTGCTGCTAGCAAAAAATGTCCACTTGGTAGACAATTAGAGGTGTCGCACCTAGAGACTGACGCTAACGCTAACAGTAGGTAGTTAGCCCGAGTTCGACAGCAGTGGGCATTGGAGGGTACAGCAGTGCCGAACAAGTTGGATTGTGAGACAGACAAGACGATAGGAAGCAGTCCATTATATTAGTTAAACAGCGATGGCCTGACAGAGATTTGATTTGGCGAAGTGATAACATTGACGCCTAATCACTACCTTGCTTATTGCTAGTGGCCTGCAGGGTGTCAGACCAAACTCCTGGGAAGCTACCGAGATAACCGAACATGAGATCTCGATCGAAACAGCGTTCTTTCGCCCCCAAATGATATGGTCGTAAGTTTCCCTACCACTTGAGACATTTGACAGATCTCAGTGGAGGGAACAACAGAGATGGAACTGTGCATCGTGGGGGGATTCTATTTTAAACACCGACCTTGGAATGGGCTGATCGCATGGTGCGCTGATTCGATGGAACCAGAGCAGCGAAGCTGTAATGATGGTGATTAGATACTTAGTAGAGTCAGGTTATGTATGTAGATCAGGCACAGAACCGGCATCTTTTGCAGCCCAGATCTAACGTACCCAATAGCGAGGGCGCGACAACAACCAATGTAACCTGTAGATGATACGAGCAGATGATGGTGTGACCACCCTGACGCGCGAGTGGCGTCATCAGACCACCGCTTTCAGCGCGCCAACGAATGGGCACGACAGCGTCTCGTATATAAGCCCCATCTGACCTCCACAGAGATGCGGAAGCAGTAGTTGACAGGAAACCCATTGTTTCAGTATATCACCTCATTTTCAACTCCCGTGTTACTCTCACCGGGGACCCCAGGGAACACCCAAGACCCCAAATTGACCTTCAACGCCAAACGCCACCGATCCCATGACAACGCTCACGCCCCCTTCAGAGTTCCTGGCCGCGTGCCCTAAGTTTCGCCTCTTAGTGCTCGGGAGCCCCGAGTCGACGAAACTGGAACTGTTTACCAAGATTTTTGGAGTTGATCTCGAGAAGGTGGGTTGATCAATCTCTCCCCGAAGCTTAACCCCGTTGGCACGACGGGCACGACGGACACTGATGGTCGCGATGCTCCCAGCACCTCGTGGACGAAGGTTTCAGCGCGAACCACGACATCGAGAAGGAGCTTGACCTACACAGCCAAAACGACCCGCTGGCAATCCACACAAGCCTCAACTTTGGGACGGGAGATGGCGCCCGCTATGACCGAGTCAGCGACTTTCTTATCTCCCGCTCGACAGCCTCAACCAAACCGGAGGATAGCATCCACTGCATATGGTACTGTGTCGCGAGCGAGGAGGACCGCCAGGTAGCCGACCTCGAGACGCGCTTCTTTACCAGCGGACTGCACGCGGCCGCGCCCGGGGTACCTCTAGTGCTCGTCTTCACAAAGTATGAGGAGTTCGTAGGACAGGTCAAGCTCGACTGGTCCCGAGATGCGCAGGAGCGGGGGCTGTCCAAAGTTGCCGTGTCGCACATCCTGCGAGACTTGTCATCCAAGAAGTTTGAGAAAGAGATCGGGCGGAGGTGGGACGACCTCCTAAATGGGACAATACCGCGGGTGTGTGTCTCGAGCGGGGATGATGAGGACGACGAGCGGAGCTGCGAGGAGCTTGCGCTCAGGACGCTGTCGACTCTGCGGGAGAAGGGCATCCGCTACGCGTTTGGGACGGCGCAGCGGAATTCTGCTCTGATATCGACAAAATGTAAGCGTCTTCTTGTACCACATCATTACCTCTCATCCTCTGGGGAAACCTATCAAGCGCTCTTCCTGACTGACACTTGGCTCCCAGTCGCCGCCGACACTGCATCGTCCTACTTCGAAGTCGACACCGGTCACGCGCGCAAGCTGCACGGCATCGCGATGCGCGACATCCTTCCCAACTTCTTCACCAAAGCCATCCAGCTCTTCAACCTGCGCGACCCGACCTCGACGCTGACCGCCGACCCGGCCCTGCTCTTCCGCGCGCTCGATGCGACCTTCGACGCCTCCCAAAAGGCGCTCCTCGCCGACTGCCTCCGCAGCAGCGGCACCGAGCCGGGCAGCCTGCTCAACAACCTGACCCCGCACGAGCGCGCGGTGCTGCTCACGCAAGCCCTCGCGGCGGCGCTGCTCTTCCTGCACCGCCTCGCCGACGCGCAGTGGCCGCACGAATCTTTCCTCGCCCCGCACACGCTCACGCCGGCCGCCGTGACGCGGCAGCTCGACGAGATTCGCCGCGGGCGCGAAGGGCGCGAGGTGCTCGAGACGGTGGAGGCGAGCCCCATCTTCACGTCGTGCACGCTGCGCAAGGGCGTCGCGGACCTGATCGTCCGGGCGGTGGAGCGGGCAGATGCGGTGCGCGCGGGGGCCGGGGGGAATCATCACCATGGCGCGCCGAGGGCCCTCATAGTCGAGGATGACTCGGAGCTGCAGGAGATCTCGCTGAGTTTTGTCAATGACAAGGGGCCGGATGACATGGTGCTGCCGTGTGGGTTGACGATTTTGCCGCTGACTTGAGCCCAAGACGGAGGAAGATGGGGGGGTAAGGAATGGAATTACTGACTAGAAACTGGGAGTGTTTTGCAATTGGGTACATAGGTAGTTCAGAGCGTCAAATGCGCAACCCGAACAGAGAATAGAACTCAAGACTTGGAAATCACCTTTTCTCATATTGCAGGAAGATGCGTAGGCGGTAATCCATTGAAGGGCTGTAGAGTCGTTCAAGAAACCCCGAAAAGAGGGATTCATGAGAGCGTACATCTAAACAACTGCGAATGAAAATAACAAGGAGCTCGCGGCAAAAGGGAGAAATGGAAAAATGAAAAGAAAAAAGAATCTCTCCCGCCGGGAATTGAACCCGGGTCTCGAGCGTTGTTATGAAGGGCTTGCCTTGCAATGACAAGCTCACATACTGACCACTATACTACGGAAGAATTGCTGGTGTGGGCACCAGCCGTAGCGAGGAGTTGTTGGAAATCGGGGCTGGACACACCCCTTATAAAGGCTTTCCTTTCCCTAACACTATAACCTCACTGCAGCTTTCATTGTGAATTCCTCTATTGTGCCGACCATCACAGGATGCATTGCTCTATCGATGCAGTTTTGGGAGTGAATGCGTGATTAGAAACAAAGTCGGAGATGAGTGAAAGGACCAAATCTTTAGCTGCGAGCGTATCAAGTGCTTATTCTACCTGTGCTATTCACTTCCTGCTCTTTAACTTAAGGGGCTGCAGTCGCTCAACAGTTGAATAAGTTTACACAGATTTGTCTTTGAGTCTGACTTTTCGGCTGTCCTGAATCACGCTATTGATATCAATTACTTCAAAATCTTCCAAAACCTCTTGTTCAAACCCCTCAGTCGCAGCGCAGCTGCTACGAGCAAAAGCAGTTCACCTCCTCAACCCTAAGGTATCCCTCCAGACTTCATACCTCCTTCTTACGCCCACGCGCCAACAAGACTCATACAGATCGCCCCGAACAGCACCAAACAGCACGCAACGACCCTCTTGCGGCCCCTCAGCACGCCCCAGCTCTGGTCGCTCAGAAAGTCCTCGGCCAGCAGCTCGATCAGCGCGGCAAATACCAGCAGACCCGACGACACGGCGTTCATGGTGCCGACCAGGATGAGGCCAAACTCCGAGTCCGGGCTGTAGAGGGTGTGCGTGGCCAGGCCGATGGCTTGCCCTATCGGTGTCCTGTTGAAGTGAAGGTGTTAGTATATGAGACAGAGACGATGAGGTTTTTGGCGGCTTACGTGCAGCCGTAGGCGAGGACCATGAGCCAGGGCTGGAGGGTCTTTTTGGGCCAGGCGATAGAGGCGATGCGGGCGCCGAGGGCGAGGCCTTCAAAAGTTTCTATAGGAGGTTAATATCGCAGATCGGTTGAGGGGGGCCAGAGGGGAACGAACGATGAAAGGCGATGGCGATGAGAAGGACAACAAAGTCACCGCCGATCGCGACGCTCAGGGCCATGCCAATGAAGACGCTGTGGAACAGGATGCCGACTTCCAGCAGCATGCACTGGAGGATGCTCTTTTTGTGGAGCTGCTCGGGTGTGAGCCCGCCGCTCTGGGACTCGATTTCCAAACTCTCCTTCGAGAGGTTGTTAGGCGGGGCGGGATCCCGCAGCGGTGCCGGCTCGATGCTGCCGCGGCGGGGCGCCGAGGGGCGCGTGATGGCCGCTACAACAGCTGCGTGGCCGCAATGTCCGCCGCCCATGGAGGCCGGGACGTGCTGGGCCCCTGACCCCGAGCCCTCCGCATCGCCAGCCTTCTTTGCGCGAGAAGGCCGCGGGATGAAACTCCGCGCGGGGCTAAAGACCATCTCGATGATGCTCACAAAGAAGATACCCACAAGCGCAATGGCGCCCGGCATGGCCGGATAGTCGGTGGTCCAGAAACTTGAGAGGCATTTATTGCCGAGCGAGATGAAGGCGGTAGGCAGCAGGTGCACAAAGGCCGTGGCAAGGAGGACACCGGTGCCAAAGTGGCGGACTCCAAAGAAGAAGGGCTCGGGGATGCGCAGTACAGGAAACTTGGCGGCGAGCATGGGGACGGCGCAGGCGAGACTCGAGACGGTGAGAATGATGAGCAGTGCGCCGACATGGAGCGGCGTATTGTACTCGTCGGCGCCGGCGACGTTGCCGGCGCAGGCATCCTGGCGTTTCGCGAGGCGCCGGAGGGTTGTTTCGGCTGGTGCGTGGTCAGTATGCAGGGGCAGGGTAAGAAAAGGGATCTTGAAAAAGGGTGAGCTAACCTTGGGCGACAGTCAAGACAGCAGGCTTGACAGCTCGCACAAACAGGGCCGGGAGCTGACTCCCGGCGACATTGATCAGCGTCGACACAACCACGACGGACGCGATCCAGCCAATCCAGCCCGAAGGGGCCTGGACTGGGCGAGAGGGAGGACAGGCCTGGCCTTCACCACCAGGCGCTGTCTCGGGTGCAATGAGCGGACCTGTGGTGGTTTAGTTTACTCAGCAGGGTGACTCCACCAAAGGAAGGATCAGGATAATGCAGTGGAGGTACTTACAGCCAAGCCTGCCGCTCATTGCAGAAGGGCAGGGTGCGAACAAGTCGGTGACGCACTCATTCACTCGGCCATCCATGGCTCGTTTCTCGTCATTGAGGAAGCCGACGCCGTTTCCAGACCCGGCGCAACCATGGCGGTGTTCGCGGGCGTTGGCAATGCCATTGAGATCCTGGCGCGTGGTCAGGTCTGGGGCCAGAAAAGGCGGGTTCTGGTTCCACGTCGGGTGCTCGAGATCGTCCTCGGTTCTTGACGGTCGATTCATGGTTGTTCGATTGTGTCTTTGTGCCTTTGTGTCTTTGTATGGGTATTCGTAGTTTGCTGTCTTTATTGTCTATTTCGTCCCCCAGTAGTCGTCGCTCCCTGAAAAGACGGCTCAGTTGCGATGAAAGTCAATGGCTCCTTTGCCATCCAAGGAATTTGCGTCAAACGTGACCGAGAACAGTGCCAATTTGGGGGTTTTGTGGGGCTCGGCAGTGACGCTGAAACCCGGGTCAGCCTCTGGGTCAGCAAGGTTCGCACCCGAGACGGTTGGAGGGTTTGCAGTGCTTTGACGCAACTGGTCGGTGGGGCTCGGCAACAAGGAGAACAAGCCGGAATCTTACGGAACTTGGCGACACGTTACGCAATCGACGGCTCAAGAATCACCGAAAAGGGATTATAAACAACTAAAAACCTTGGACTACTTATACGAGTTTCCGATTTGACGGGTCGCAGCGGAAGAAAACTCGATGCAGGTTCAAGCTCTGCAGGGTCGCCACATCCTGTCCCGATTGGTCTGCCAATGCCGGCAACACCCTTTTCTAGAGGTGCCAAGCCGTGCAACAAAAGTTAGGGCTCCGGGGAGGAGGAGCAAAGCCGTCGTCTAGACACTTACACGGAAACACGCTGCGGCTACGCTTAAACAGAACGGTAACCAAAAAAATGCAATTGAACCGGCTTTGAGTTTTGATCCTGGAGTCTGTATCCCAGAAGCAGCATGTCACACCCGACCACGACCTCACCCGTCACCCTCGCGACGTGCATGTCGGCGATGGAATCTCTTGGTTTGTTTGTTCTGGCCCACCCTCGGGAACGCCACCGGGGACGAACTAAGAGCCGGAGCGTTCTCGGCGTCCCACTCCCCAGCCAAGTTAACGTTGGGCTCCATAAGGCTGGAAGCAGATCATGCGGGGTTAGGCTGTAAGTGCCTCTTCAATCCCGGTAAACTGCCCAAGACTGCCAGCACCAGGGTGAGTTTCCCCGGGACTGGCTCTGACCAGGCTCGGCGCGAATGCCGATGGATACGGCTCATGTAACGGGTGCGGTGTTGAAATCAAAACCATCATTACCTGGCCGTTTAAGGTGGCAGATATAAATCCCGTCCTCGCCAGAAATCGTCGGAGGATTCCGGATCTATCTCATTCACCCGGCTCCTCGATGCCTGGTCCTGCACCGAGCATGATGAGTTTACTGCTTCCTCAGAGCTGGGCCCAGCTATCTTGATCTGGAAATTTGGGTACCATTCTGAACTCATAACCAAGTACTTCCTACACAGGGGTATTCGAGCGCTGACAATCTGATGAGAGATGATACCACCGCAGAATCTGCCCCGCTTGCCCTCCAAGCCAAATGCGAATGTAATCTTTCAGTAGCGACAGGTATGATAGGAAATCATGAGCGCAGTCTCGCCTCCTAGGGCGTTATTCTGAACGCCTTACCCAAGGACAATCGCCTTGACCTCGATGCTCGCACGCCTCGGTGTATCCAGAGGTGCAGATGGGTCAACAAAAGCGGAATGTGGACAGACTGGACATGTCAGCGGGTTCCATCCATGTCTTGCCGCGTGCGATTGATTTACCAGTCGCCTCGCTCCTCAAACTGTCATAGAGTTTGAAGACAATGGCGTCTTCCTGTGTCATCCCCTTCTTGTAGAACCATCGATGTGAGGGGTTGTGCTTGACCTCGTAGGCTTCGTCGATAAAGTGCGGGTAGACAATGTCCATGGGAACAAGATCTTCACGGTTGACGGTACGGAAGTCGCAGAGTGCCAGGGGGCAGTCTTCCACGGGTGCGGGGGATATTGGCCGCCACACACTGTCGGCACCTGGTTAGCAAATGGTGTGCTGCGCAAGTCTCGGAGTGACAAGTCTGACTTGATGAAACGGACGCGGCCCTGCATCATCTCCTTGTAGGAGTCAGGGAAGTAGAGCTGAAGTCGGGCCTGGCAAGTCGCCTCCGTGGCGTCTGGAAATCTTGAGCTGGACGAAACCTCCAGATAGGCTTAAATGTTTACCAACCGCAGTGAGCCCGCAGAAATGGGGGCTTAAACTCATACTTGTGGCCCTCGGACTTTTGAGACGTATCATGATGGCGGAACTGCTACAATTAGTTCTGGATCCAACCAGATCAATGCAAAGCAGCGCGGGCGTAAGAAAACACCAATGTCGACGTTTGGTGATCTGGGACGTCTGACCCACATTGTAGGCGTAGCAGAAGACGTCGTGGCAACCGAGACGCTCCTTGAGCCAGTTCACCAGCCCAGGAAGGTACTCTGATGACACATTTGCATCAGACCAGCTCGAAACGGCGATCGTGCATTTGGCAAACTCGAAGCCAGACACAGCGAGTGAGAACCGGTCTTCGTGGCCCGCGATATTGGCGATGCTGACGCGGTAGCTTTTTGACTGGAGGTTGTGCATGTCAAAACCAGCAAAGCAGTTTTTGGGTAGCTGGCATTTGTACGGCTTGTGCGTTTGGTAAAGCTTGTCCGGTGCGAGATGGTGAAAGGATTTGGGCTGGACGGTGGGCAGGTTAAGCCCGCGAACCTCGGCATCGAGAGCCTGTCTTATCCGCTGGGTGGCCTGGGGTAACCCACGACTTGGCTGGTAGGGAGTTTGATGGCTGATATCTAAGACACAAGATGA